TTTTAAACGTAATACATCCATAGAATGAATTATTATAGTATATAAAGGATCTAAATAAATATTATATTTATATTATAAATTTAATGAATAATGTCCCTTGCATGTTAACATGCTCCTTGCCTTTGAACATCCCCACTGCATCACTAGGTTAGATTTGACTACATTTTCCTAATTAAGATGTTGATGATTTCATTACTCTAATTTTTGTAAGGAAAATCATTTAAGGATTTTTGAGCAAGCAATAGCTGTTCTATTTCCTGGTAGCTTTCAATGTTTTGAAATTGTGTTTTCATTCTACATAGGGACAAAATCAAAACTGTGTGTGTGTGTATCACTCTCTAATATTTGACTCTATAGTCAATCTAAGTGTCTCACAGCCATAGACGAGTGACCAAACACGAGCTAACTCTGTGGTTGGTCTCCCTCTGTGTCTTCCCCAAAAACATTTTCAAGGAAAAAACCCTTTCTCTCCAGAAATCATTTTGACTTTGATGATAATATTTTTTGTTAAAATGGATATGCTTTGATAACAAGCATATTTTGTTAGAAAAGAAATCCTCTATCCAGCTCTATTTCAAAGCATCAGGCAGAACTTCCTTCACTCTACCAGTCTCCTTTTCATTCTTCTCTGCAGATAACTCACATTTTGAATAGCTACAATCGTTATTTTTCAGCTGGTGGAATCACAGTTCCCCCAGATGAAATGTGCCATCTACAAGCATTCAAAACATTTCATCGACTCTAAAAATGGCCAAAACAGGAGACATCTGCATTGTGCTAGACAAGGCTCAAGTGCTAATCAATCAAAGTGCAAGCATTTGAATAAATGCTTCTTAAGTCTCTTCAAACACTGAACTAACCTCTGCAATCCCACTACTCCCCCCTCCCCCCCACAGGAGGACACTCTGAAAGTTGGGCTGCATTACAGTGCTAAAGGGACATAACAAGCCCCTCCCCTGATACCTGAGGGCATGAAAAAGCCCAGCCTCTCTGCACATCCCAGATACTGTGCATCTGTCATACCCTGAGCAGGTGGGGGAAAGCCACCTACCAGCACCATTAAGATATACCAATAACCTTGGGCTGATCCCAAAGACCCCAGACCTCTGACTTATACTCATCAGCCTTGGACCCTGCAGCCCCCACCTCTGCTGGACCTCTATCTCCCTGACCATGCCCCCTGCAGATCTCAGACCCTGCACTGTTCCCTGAGTCCCCTGACCCCCACCTCTCCACCACACCCCCCAGACCATGGTCTGGTTTCCAGCCCCCTGACTCACCCCTGCCACTCAATTGAATCCTGAAGACCCTATTCTAGTCAGTTCTTGAAACCCCTGACACCTGACTCCGACCCCTGACATTGCACCAGTCCCTGACTCTCCCCCGCCAGAGACCCAGACCCTGCAAATCCCACACCCAACCCTGTGACCTAGACCTTGTCCCTTTCCCTGCAAACCCCAGACCCTCACCACTCCCCAGGCCCTGAGCCCACCCCCCCGCCACCCCTTCAAACTGCTGACCCCTTCCCCTACTTGTCCTCAAGGCCCCTGCCCCCATCCCCTTCAACCCCTGAAGACTCAGGACCCTGCACCAGTCCCTGGACCCATCCCACCCAGGTGAAGGTAGGATCCACTGTTTGTTTGTTTTTTCATGAGAGGGAGTAAGGGGCCTGATGAATCTGGGTCCTGCTTGGTTGGACCTAGATCCACCAGACCCCACTACTCTTATATTCAGATAGTATGGATCCTGACCCCACTGGAACCAAGGACCATTGAGCTACTCCCACATAGATACAGCCTAGCCTGACCAGGTTCCCCCTGTTCCTGGAATCCCCTCCCCAGATCCTTCTACCCTGGATGCTGGAAATTTACCATGTTGCATGGGGTGGGCAAGAGGGGGCAGGTCATTGTTCGCTCATCCCAGTGAGAGCATGATCCACATTTTTGTGTAGAGGAGGGATTGGGTCTGGAAAATCCAGGTGCTTCTTCATTGGAACAGGATCTGCCAGATGCTGCCCTTTCCCATATTCCAACTGCATGGACCGTGCACCCCACAGGAACTGGAGACCCCAGAACCTCCAGCACAGACACTGTCTGGAGCCTGTGATCCACATCTTACAGGGACACTGCCAGTCCACATGGGGACTGTATCCCCCAATACATTGCTGAGTCCACTGCTACTCTTGACACTATATGCTAACCAATATAACAGCTGAGCAGAAGGCAAAAATTAAAAAGCCCAAGCCAAGAAGTATGCAATTTGTGGTATTGCTTTAGGTGTTCAAATGATCATCATATGATCACATTAAGAAGTTCCCTTTCAGAAGCTAGTACAAAATGGTGATTTTTTTTTTGTACTGCACATTTAAATCTGCATAAGGAAAGTGTTTATGGACTGAAATGTAAGGACATTTTTTACTATGATGAGTTTGTATTTGTTCTGTTAGGAATTTGGACTATGGAATAAAAACCTCTGATGTCACAGAGAGTCAACTGAACCCTGAAGACCTACTCCACCTATTCGGTGCCTTAAGTTGATTTAGGTGCCAAAATGAGATTTTATTCTACCTTGTGTTCAAGACCAGAAAATCCATTAATGCATATATTTTTATTTTTTCCAACACACTTGGTTTAAGATAGCTTCACAAAAATCAGCAAGGAAGGGGACAAACCTACTCACCTTTTGAAATAATGAATTTTCAGGAATTTGAGCAGGGTGGAATAGAATGACACTTAGTTTATAGGAAAGTAGGGCTGGAAGGGAACTCACAAAGTCATCTAGAGGCAATTCATTGGCTCCCAGGCAAAAACGAAAATTAGATTAATAATATATTTCAAAAGTGGGATTGGAGGAAAGTAGGGCTGAAAGATTCAGTCCTGCCCCACTAAGCCAAGTGTCTATCTCACCTGCTCTTGAAAACTTCTAAGGATGGAGATTCCATGACTTATCCAGGTGGCCAGTTCAAATGTTTGACCATCCTCATAGTCAGAAAGTTCTTCCTACTTTCCAACCTAAATTTTGCCTGATGAAGCATGAGGTCATTGCTGTCCTGTGCCCCACCACCATTACAAAAAATCACCTCCATTCTTTCTATAATTGCTGTCCAAGCATGTGAACACTGTTTTCAAATCCCTCCTCCCTTGTCTCTTCTCCACAGTAAATAATCATAGTTATTTCAGCCTTTCCTCATAAGTTATGAGGAAACATATTGTTCTCAGCCCCCAATAATTTTAGTTCCAAAGTTTGAGGGTCAGAGAAATCTTGTGGCACCTATTCATGATACTGCTGAACAGAATTGAGCTCACTCAGTTTTAAGAGTCTTTCCAGGACCAGTGGTTAAGACTAAGTTTCCTCCTCACTGGGCATGTCTACACTTGATCCTACATAGCCATAGCAACATACTATGGTGACATAGTGTCTGTGGACATGTACAAATGATCAGCAGTCACCTCACCATAGTGACGCACTGCCCTGCTATAGTGCAGCACTACAGCAAGGTAGCTGCTAAAAATAACTGTGCGCCAGATGTATGATGCAGTATGGGCTGTTACTGCCCCATGATTTAGTACTTCCAAAAAGAAGTACTAAAAAGAAGTAACAACATTGCCATACCGGCACATGTAGTCACACCCACTGGGCACATCTACACATTCATTAAGTTCTGTACTTGTATAACTTGTACTAAATCAATGTGGAGTAACTGGCATTGCTACACTGTAATGCCAGCACATCTCTTTAGTAATGCTACTGAACTATAGCTGAATAATACCGCACAGTAGTGTATTAACACTGTTTTTGCTGTGATGTGCTACCATACAGTATTATTAGGCTACTGCACATTTAACATCTCATGTAGATACACTCACTGTCAATGCAGGGGCATGTCCCTGCCTCAGTCAGGCCAACATCACAGTATTTTGCATCCTAACTGAACTGAAGGAGTTGGAGCTCATGGTCAGCATCTAAGAGAAATAAGCAATCCCCTCTCATTCTACACCTCTATTGTACCTTATAGGCAAGACGAGGTAGGAGAGGGAAATGAAGCAGAAGAAATGCAGAGAGCAGACATTATCATTGATTCTTTCTGTACTTTAGGTTTTCCTAAAGCTCCCATCAGTGTTTTATTTGCTTTACTCTGTACTCTACTTTGTTCCTATTTGGTCTTTTTTAAATTTTCATTTTGGCTTTGTTTTATTTAATTTTCTTTTATTTGAATTGCATACTGCTGTGATGTTGTGTGGGGGGGAACTATTTTTGTCATGTTATTTGTATTATGGAGTTTAACAACGTTTTTTGATACTCTTGCCCAACCAATCGTGAAATGGAATATGTGGCCTTAAACAAAGATTTCATGAAAATGCATTAAGAGAAAAAGCAATCAACAGTCTTCCCAACATGTATTCCATATCTATGTTGAAAGTACTTATAAATGAACATTCTCTCTGGTCTCATGGTGTCTGGGTAAGCCACACAATAGTAAATAGATTATACAGGTGGATACTTGTACCCAACTGATGATTATGCCATAAAGCCCCATTGTGATGGCTACAATTCTAACCATTATACTGAGAGCTTAAAAACAAAACAAAAAAAGGGAGGTAAGCGGGGGTGTTAATGAACTAAATGTAAAACCTAAGGGTCCAAAAAAGTACTGTAGTAAACTTCTATGTACCCGCCTCCGCTCTAGTAGGTGTTCCCGCGCCGCCTTCGCCCGAGCGCTAGATCTTGCGGGCCCCAGGCTTACGGGTGGACCCCGGAGGCTACCCCTGGTGAAGTCAGGAGGACCCCTGAACTTGCCTGCCACGACTTTGAATGTAACTTCAGTGGGGGGTCCTTCCTTGCGGTAGGCACGGTCCCCCGCGGGTAGTCTTGGGGCTCCGTCCTCCCCTACACCCTGGCCACTCACCACGTATAGCTCTGTCTCTCCTTGGCTTCCACGGTGTCCTAGGCCTGCCACTGTCTTACCCCCAACCTGCCAAGCGTCTGTAAAGGTCCTCGGCTCAATGGGCCATCTGCTGGGGTTGCCAGCCCAGACCTTCTGCCTCGGCTCCTTCTTTAACCCGGCTGCTGGTTTCTTCACTGGCTCTGTGGCTTATGAAGCAGCCGGTTCCTTTACCAGCTCTGCTGCTTGAAATGCAGCCAGCTCCCTCGCTGGCCCTTCTGCCCACGGCGCAGCCGGCTCTTCCACCGGCTCTGCTGCTCAGGATGCCACCGGTTCTCTCTCTGGCTCCGCTGCCTGCAATGCAGCCAGTTCCCTCCCTGGCTCTGCTGCTCCAGACGCTGCCGGCGCCTCCACCGCCTCTGCTGCCTGCAGCATAGTCAATTTCTTCCCTGGCTCCGCTGCTCCCAACTCTGCCGGTTCCTCCACCAGCTCTGCTTCTTGCAGCGTCGTCAATTTCACCCCCGGCTCTGCTGGTCCCGATGCCGCCGGCTCCTCCACCGGCTCTGTCACCTATAACGCAGCCGGCTCCTTCACCGGTTCTGCCGACAGCGTCGGAGCCGGTTACACTGCCAGCACGGCTGCCGGTTGAGCTGCCGGCTTTCTTGGAGCCCGCTCTGGCTCCGCCCCTTGCACTCGCTGCAGCTGGGTGCGGCGGCTGATCTGCTTCCCGCAGGAGCTCACTCCCCTCATCTCTCCTCATCAGCCGCCCCGCTACCTCGGTGGGGCCACTTTTTGTTTGTTCTGGGAGGCGTCCTCCACCCCCGCTGCTCTGCCGCAGCCGGATGAACGCCCGGCTGATCACCCACGCCGGCGTCCTCGGCATACACGCCTCCTCCGGCTCTGTGGGAGGTAAGTATGACTCCTTGCTGCCCCGGGGTTCCTTTGGTGTCCCAGCTCCCCTGGGACATTCTATTTCCCATGGATTAGGAGATGAGGCACTGTCTACTATTTTATTTTTACATTGCTCTCCTAGTAATAAATCTCCTTGTTATAACAAGGTGCTTGGCTGGCCAGGTGCTATCTATTTTTAACCCTGAGAGAACTTCAACAATGTTAGAACAAGATGATATTTTGTCCTTTACTAAGTCTTAGCTTTTGACTGATCGAAGCTCCAGTGGCATCAATGAAATGCTAACTTATATATAGGTTGGTTTCCACCTACCCCCTGGTTTACCTGTATAAACCGTATAAAGTAAAAGATTATTAAATATCCACAGACAGTTTTTACAGTATGTGTAGTGGGAAAATCTCTTTTGAGTCTAAAGCTCTTGTTTGGGCTTTAGACTCAAAAGTTTTTGGTACTACAGCTAATTTCAGTGGTTATGATATTGCAATGGAAAAGAGAATTTTGAAAAAAAGCCCAAGTGATTTAGATGCAAAAGTTTCATTGACTATATCTTGACCCATTCTCCACTGTCATTTGTGTGTGTCTGAAAATACTACCATTAAGCTATATTTTAAGTCAAAAATGGAAAAAAAAAACAAAACCCCTGAATAAATGAACAACCTCCTTCACTCCCACCAAACCCAAACAGAAGTTTAAATAAGCCAGAAGTTAAACTACTATGTGCTTAAAAGGTCTTAAATAAAGTATCTAAACAATTATGGTGTTGGAGAGCCTTCGTATTGTATTGTAGAAGATACATTTAAGGAACTGACTTACTGAGGAAATGGGTTGGACTCTATAGGTATAGGTTTCAAGTTTTGACCATTTTTTTTAGTCCAGGAAATTTTACAATACTGAATAGACTATCTACTAAGAACATAGGCTATTAAATAATTAAAGAGGAAACATTTTCCTAGAGAATAAAGTGTGATAAAGAAAGTAGCTTTGTCTGTACATGGCACTTTCTAGTGGAAATTGGTAGCTAGAAAAACATGGTGAACATATTACATTATTTATATTCAGCTATATTTCCAGTTTGGTAAAACTGAGTTCCCATCTGATTTTAGGCTTTTCCTTAGAGTAGAGTAAAAACTCTTTATACTTTTTTTTTTCCTATACAAGCTAACGTAAAATAACAGCTGAGCCTGTTAGGAGTCTAATTGATGAAGAGGTTTGGGGTTAATTTGGGTCTAAGTAAATTCAAGCTACATGGTAAATTTTTGTATTTGTATTGCTTTGTTTTAAAATCAAACCAACTTGCACTCTTTATTTATAAATCATTTTTAGATCACCCCCCTTACAGGTTGAAAAAGGCAATATCCCTTTGAAGGAATGAACACTTCATTTGCATGTTGGAACTGAAAATATTTGAATTGTGCCTGTGAAGCATAAACGAGGTAGAGAATCTTTATGGAGCTTTGCCAGCCCTTGTACTATTATATACAGTCTTAGTCTGTGGCTTTACAATCTCTAAATCTTTGGTTAACAAAATAAAGATGGTAGGAGTATGACTAGCATACATGTGACTACCAAACCTTTGCACTGAATAGTGAGGGAAATAGATTTTGCATCCTTTTCCAAAGAGTAATATGAACCCTATCACATACCCTCCGAGACTCCTAAAGGGGTGTGCTCCTGTGTCACATACTTCTCCTTTGAAACTATCATTGGATGATAAACATCCAGCTAGAAGTATTAGCTATGAATTCACTGTGGGCACACCTATATGTGCCCCTACAGTGCCTTTATTGCTGTGCCATCATTTAGTACTTCCTTTAGAAAGTACTAAATGATGGTGCAGTAACAGCCATTACTGTGCCGCACCAGCAGTGCATGGTTATTTTTAGCTGCTATGTCACTGTAGTGACGTGCTATAGCGAGGGGCTGCATCATTATGGTGAAGAAGCTGCGGCGTCATGGTTTGTGCCCAACAATGCTTCGTAGTTGTAGGACATTGCTACGGCCACATAGTGTCTTGTGTAGATGCACCCTTTAAGCATGAAAGTGAGAGAAAAATAAAAATTGACTGCTAGCTTTTGAGGAGGGAGAATATCTTCATAATATATTATTATTTTTTAAGCACATAGCACAACACAGACCCAGTGCCTGAATGGGACCTTTTTGGCATAGCTGTACTTTTTCCACTGTACTCTTGAAAACACAACCAGTAACAGACTCTACCCACACACTCCTATTCTAGATGCCTTGATGTGAATCAATGAAGCTTCCCTGCTGGTCTAGAGATCTCTTTTTCCAGTGCTCTAGAAAACAACAGGAGACAGTGGTCAGGGTGAAAACACTGCCTTATTTCCTGGTTTGGTACATGTGGGTAGGTGAGGCATGTTTCTTGTCAGTGCTCTGAGGAACATCCCAGAATGGTATAGATATAACCATAGGCACTGCCTTAGTACAAATCCATTCTGTAACAGAATGTAAATTATGCTTTAGTCCAGCACAAGTTACTGGGTCACATAGAAGCAACTGGCTGAAATGTACTCCCCAGTGATGCACAGTAGCTCAGATCAGATAGTGTAATGATGTCTTCTAGCCATAATCTCTATAAATCTATGAATACATAATGTTATTAAATGGGTAACCATTTTAGCTCTAGGTATCATGGCATACTATGACATCACAGTTACCATGAGTGGCTTGGACAAACAACATGTGATTATATCAGCTCTTCACGAGATCTGTATTCCTTTGCACAATAGTCTTTCTTCATTAGTATGATTTAAAAATGTAATAGCTTGTATTTCAAAAGTATTCCTATGCTGCTATATGTACATAAGCATCTCTTATATTTTAGTGGGAGATTTGCCTGCTTAAGCATTGAGAGGCAAGGTCACTGGAGGGTACTATAGCCATATAACAGTTTTAATATTTTTTCTTCCACTAGGTGGAGCATTGTTATTACAATAGAATCTTTTAAGTTACTAAGAAGTGTTCCAAGGCGAGAGAGAGACAGAGAGAGAGAAAACTGAAAATTTTGGATCAAGTTCTGGATCAGAATTTTCCAAAGGTATACAAGATCCTATGGTTCAGTTTGATTATTCTGTTTGCTTGTATTGTGTGTTTTCTCTCTTACTCTCTTTTACCCACCACCCAGGCTATCATTATCCTCTTTAGATCTTTGATAGTAAGAGTGAATATTTTAAAAGTATAATATACAAAATCGGGTGATTTTTCACACTTTGAGAAGAAAGTTCAAGATGGCTGCAAGTTTGTTGCTTTATGTATGTTACAGAAAGTTGCCACAGAATAGAATTAAGAAACAGAGTGAATGTCTTAGAAAGCATATCATGACAACCTTTATAAATATGTTATGCTTCATGCCCAAAATTTTGTAGATTGCATCTCTAACAGGCTCCAAAGGGAGAAAGGAGCCTCTTTTAGGTAGAAATGGCAGGTCAGGTTCTAATATTAATTGCTTTCAAGCTTATCATGAAAAAGCAGAAAGAACTGGTTTAATAGAACAGTGTCTGAGCTTCTATCTGTTATTAAGGAAGTTTACTATGAAGTAACCATGTGCACATGTAGACGCACATGCTTACTTCACAGTAAACTATGCTAATGTGAAGGCAAGCATCTCATGTAGACACGCCCAGTATGCATTATCCAATAGACTACTGACACCACACGATGGTGTAATGGACATTTAGTTTGTTATTCTGTTTGAGAGTAAATACCTGCAAAGGCTGCCTATAGTGTGCTCATTGGCATTCTAATTAGAACATGTCGAAGCAGACTCAATCAAGTCTTCTCCATGTTCTAATTAGAACACTGAAGTGTTGCCACAATGTCATGTGTATTAAGCCCTCACATACTTTTAAGTGGCCATGGGGTGTTATAATTAAACCTTGTCAAATGAGGTTTAGATAAAGTATCCTGTGTGAATGTTTAAATGAACAGGGGCTTAATGCATGTACGGGTGAGGTATTTGAATTAGAGCAGCAGTCCAATAACCATTCTAATTAAAAGGCCCTCCCCCAACTTTTGAGCACATGAATAGGCAGCCAAGAGCAATTCTGCCTATGTGATGTTGGGTTAATGCTCTAGAAAGCCTTCAGCATCCCTAATGATGTGGTGGAGGTATCTGCACATATCCAGGGGATGAGACAGAACAGTCCCAGAAAGATCAGTGAGAGACTTTTCAGATGTCACAACCTGAACACAGGGCTGTCCAACCTCAGAGTCACCTAGAGGCCATATATTTGGGTCACACACCCACAGGGCTACACATATACATGTGAAACACTCCCTCCTGTATTTTTCCAGTGCCCCTGTGCCCTGCACACCACACCATAATAATATTCCCATCCTATATTAGATCCCAGGGTTCCCCCCAAGTCACTTGCTGTGTGCTACCTTGCCCCCCAAGTTTGAAAGTGGGAAGTGGAAGCCACAGTGGGGAGGGAGAACCTGGAGATTCTGGAAGCAGCACCAGAAAAAGAGTGATGGGGGAACAGTGCCTGGAGCAGGAACCTGGGGCTTTCAATTCATCCTTTGGGCAATCAGCATTGCAATGTGGAACATATAAGGAAGAGGCTAGACACAGACAAATAGTGTGAGGAGGAGATGGAGAAATAAAGAGCAAATATAGGTATCCAGAAGAGTTGATGAAGAACCATAGAAGTTTTCCCAACGGGCAATGCTTCTAGGTGACTCTCAACACTATCCTGAGGATCAAGAGTCAGTAAACACCTTCTATGCAAGGTGTTCTTAAGTGAAGTTGGGACATCTGGACCATAGGACATATTCCTATGATTGTGCAAGTAGCTACTATATTTTCTTGCATACGACACTCAACTTTTCCCCAAACATTCATCCCCCCACAAAAGTGGGGTGTGTGTATTAATCAGGGAATCTTATTTTCTGACAGGGATAGAAGTACCTTGCTTTGATTATGGCTCCACAGTGAAGCAGCTGTGGCATTA